CTCCTTTTGATTATAACATGTTTATTCAGTTCTAATTATTACTAACTACCATATTTTGGTATTCATCGTTGGTAATAATATTAAGTTTTGGTCTACTTCAGTACGACAATTTTTCATCCATGTTATAATTCACTTAGGCCATTGAGGTTTATGAGCCTAATTTGAGTAATTAAGTGAGTGCTATAATTATTGTCTTGATCTGTTTTGAGACATTAAGGATTAAGGATTTAATTGTTATTTTGGCCATTAAGAATTACAAACTATTGTTGAAGTTAATTAATTTTTAATCTATCAATAGTTTCAGGGCCTTAATAATAATATTAAGTCTTTAATTTTATGACAAAAGCAATATAGTTATTATATTGTCTGTATAATGGTAATTTGGTTATTACCTTCATTTCAGTCTCCCTAAGTATCATAATAGTCATGGTTAATTATTATGTGGTAAATTGAGATTAGTATTTGCCACCCCTTAATAACATTTTTTATTGTAATTATTATGAATTGACATTATTAATTACTGTTATTCAGTTTAGGGGAGGCTAATCTCATTTTATTACTTTTCATAATAATTATCATTTAATGGTAATCTGCTATATTTGGTACATTGGCATGGTTACCACTTCATTTTACATGACTATTAATGTTGGTAATTAAGTCCTACCAATAAATTTTTTAACGTACCATTTGACGCTGCATCGAGTTTATTGACACCGATAGTGAAGATTGGGAGAATTCTGGAGTCTTTTCTTCTCTTGTGGATCGTCATCGTTGTTAGCGCAATGGGCAGATGCGGTTTGCATCATTAAGGTTAGCCATTAATTATCTTTTATGATTATTATTGATAATTAGTGCTACAGTTACAGTTAACCGCTAATTTGGACTAGTCACATATTTTATCTTTAGAGAATGAAAACATTTAAAGGTGCATTACCATACTTTAGTTTGTCGTTATTATTAATGTTAATAGTGATTATAATGTTATTTATTGCTATTAATAATTAATTAATGATAACATTAATGTTGCTATGGTATTCAGTTATGCATCTTGAACTGTTTCCAAATAAATTTATGTGACAATACTCCAGTTCAGAAAATAATTTTCTGGACATTAATATTTTTCGGACTTCAAATTTTATTAAGTTTTCAAAATTTTATCCGAAAACGTTTATAAATGTTAGCAGTTTTAACCATTGTTTTTCCATATTTAGTCTCCTACATACATAATGTGATAATATTATTATGGCTATTTAGTGCTATTTTGGTTATTTGCAATTTTGCCATTCATAATAATAATATTATTATCTGAGTTATGGAGAGTGATTTTGAATCAATTTAGTAATCTTGGAAAAACATACTTGCTAGGCAATTGACTTTTGCCATTAATTCCATAGTTCATTTAGTTCTTGGAATTATGATTTTAGTTCTGATTGCCCATTTTTGGTTAAGTATGAATAAATGAATATTTTGTTTAAATTCATATCCTTTAGTTGGTTCATACTCTTTAGATTGTTTTATGCATTCGATCACATTAAGTACATAATATTAAGTTTAATTATGTAATTAAGGTTTATGAGATTTTAATTTACAAATTATAGCATATCCTTTTGGTGTGATATTGTTTGAATTTGTAAATTCAGTTATTTCTCATAAATTTGATCTTTATGCATTAAAACATTTTGTCATGGGCTTACAGTTTAAAAAAATTTTTTAAAGTATATATTCAGTACATTATTATTCAAAATGCTGGGTCTCTTTTGGTTTGAACTCATTGGTGTTTGAATAGTAAATTTATACTTTAAAATCTCATATTGTAAATTGCTTTAAGTTATGCAATTTATTTGGAATATATGAGTTTAATGTTTAATTTTATGCATATTTGTCCTAAGCATAATATTATGTTTTAAATTATGCAATTTTATTATGCCTTTAGCAATGCATATTTTGGGATGAAATTATATTAGTTCCTATTTAAGTTGGACTTATGCATAAACTTTAGTTGCGGTAGTGCCTGAATTTAAGCACGTTTAGTCCGCTATTTTTTAGTTCACCATTTAGGTGAACCCTACAGTTTTCCGGTATATACCCTACAGTTTTAGGTTCATACCCCCAAACAGTTATACATTAAGTATATATGAATCGGGGAGACATACTAGTTTTAATGGCCATGAGTTAAGAACATCTTGTGCCACTAGTCTCCTTAAATAGAGTATCTATTTAAGGAATTGGTTTTCAGTGAGACTTAGTCTCTAACCGTCTTTCCTTGGAGTATATTTAGATTTTCCCATCACAATCTGGTATAATCTGTTTGCCAAAATTTTAAGTATTCCTTGCTAATGTGATTTTATTTCGGTTCATTAAAGAATAGCCAAAGCATCTTTAATTTACTAAAATATATTTAGTTTTCAATCTTGGTTAATTAAGGAATAGCTACAGCATATTCAGCTACCTAAGATTGTTAAGTTTCAAACACATAAAGTTTAGGCAAAGAATTTGATAATTGTCTAGTGATCTTATAATTTTAATTTGGTTTGGGAGTAGCCACAACATCCTTAATCTGTTAAAATTATATATTAAGCGGTTTATTTTGATCACATAAAGTTTTGGACATATCATTTGTGATTAATTGTATGTGATATGATGAAATTTAGCCCACAGACAATTTCGTTATATTTGTATAATTAATCAGGATGAAATACTGGACTGCGGTCATAATTTAGCCCACAGGCAATTATGTATCGGAATGTAGTTTAGTAGTTTTATCAGTGACGATAGAAATAAATGAATTTATTTACTTTATGGTTATTTGTAAATAATTTTCAGTTCTATCATGAAGTTTAATTTTATGATGTAAACTTTAGATCATATTTCTTAATTTGCCCACAGGGATTAAGAAAAGGAACATGATCTCTTAAGTTTTTTTATCATAATGATAGCAATGAATCTTATTGACTAAAACTTTAGCCTACAAGCAAGTTTTATGTCATTTGATTCTTCCACTCATTTGATAATGGTTTCATCATAAATAAATTTTTCAGTTGGATCTAATTGAGTAAAATTTTAGCCCACAGGCAAGTTTTATGTCACTAGATTCTTCTGGCTCTTTAGTAATTGAGATAAAATGTTATCATAAGGATTTCTTAATTGGATTTAATAGAATTAAAATTTTAGCCCAAAGGCAAGTTTTATGTCAATAAATGCCACCACCCATTAAATGATAATTTTATCACAATTTCTTAGAGTTATAAATTCAGTTCAATTATAATTCTAAGTTTCATGGTTTGCATTGGCAACACATGTTTTTCAGTCACTTCCCAAAATTTAGCCACTTCTATTAATTAATCCACGAATCTTGCTCGATTCTTCGGACTAACTGTAGTAAGTTACATGATTTGACATACATCTTTTGGATTCCATTAATAATAAAATGTATCTTTTGAGCCAAATTCTATCTTGGTTTTGAAAGATGTATTTTGTTTTTTTTAGTATGTCCAACTATGGTGGGAAAATATATCTTCATTATTTCGTTGGACTTTAATTGGAACCAAAAATTGATTATTTAGTATGTCCAACTAATGGTGGGGAATTATGTCTTCATTTGTTAGTTGGTCAATAAATCAATTATGAGTATGTATATTATTAAGTTCATTTTATTAATTTCGCTGAAGAATGTTTTAATCAGTGGGAGTGATCATTTAGAAAATGATCATTAAGATACTCCACTAAAGTTTTTGGATTTAATTGTTGTATATATGTTAAACAATAAGTCCAAAATATTCCACAAGTATTAATCTTGTATTCGTTCATATAAATTCATAAATTCAAATTATTGAACATTTGGTTGTGCAACATATTTATGAAAATGTTGTAACAATATTGAGGAATTTATTAGAACAAAAGCATTTAACTTGTGGTACACTGTCATTTAATAAATTCTTCAGTGATGAATAGAGTCTTTAGTTTCTTCAAAATTGATCCTGGGCCATTTCAGTTGTAAGGCTCAAAACAATTTTGTGGGACATAAAAGTAAGACTCATTATGTTCAGTTCATTTAAAATGGACATTGAAGTTATTTGGGAAGTTATGGTGTATGATTAAGATTCCAAATTCATGAACTTAGACCTTTGGTTTATTGTCTAAGTTATTGGAATGCTTCTGTGACTTGACTATCTTTTGGCTATTTTTGTTGAGTGGGAGTGACAGACGTGTCAACTCCAAGCTCTTAGCTGTTAGAGATAGTACTTAAAGTTAACTTATAAAGAAGTCATGGAATACAGTTAGCATTATGCTAACATTAAGAGATCTCTACTTAAGGCATGCTTATAAAGTTTTAGAGATCATACAGTGTACTCTTTTGTACAATTTGGATGCGTTTTCTCCTTCAGTTGTGCACATAATGTATTTTGAGAAACATCCCTTAAGGTACCGAGAATAAAACTTAGGGTTTGTTCATTAAGGACCTAAGTTGGAGAATTAAAATGCATGTGACCATAATGGACACTACTCTGATTAAATAGAGGACATGTCACTATGATTCGTGTGTTTTGTTCTTTGATGAAGGTTGTGCTAGTACTTGCACCAAGTGGGAGAATGTAAGATTTTCCCTTATAATATATATTGTATATTATATATTAGGGCCTTAATTAAGTGGTGCAAGTTGACTAGGCTTATTAAGTGGTCTGGTTGGACTTAATAACTAGTAGTTGTTAGTCAACCAAACTCTGTGCCTAATATAACCTGGATTGATGGGATACAGGATTATGGATTAGATAGCACATTCAGTTACGGTACTCAGATTGCTCAGTAGATACCAATACACCATCTAGGGTTCTGAGTCAGGTCTGAGGCAAAACATGGCTAACGATCTACCGTTAAGAGGCAATACTACAGGAACATCAACTATGGCTGGAGATCTACATGGCTACGCTTCCGCTATCATACGAGGTCAGGTTTCTCGTATACTGTTATTCATTATAGTTAGACTATTGTATATCTAACACAATGGTGTTGCGGAAGGTCGGATTCCATCCTACTCCCTCGAGTCAAAGTTAGGGGATTGCAAGAGGGCTGCAGCCATCCGTCTCAAGGCCTTGGAGAGAATAACCGGCAAATCATTAGACGGACTTCCCTTGGAGAGTTTTGACTATGAATCAATTCTGGGTCAGTGTTGCGAGATGCCAGTTGGGTACGTACAGATTCCGGTAGGTATTGCGAGGCCGCTCTTGCTTGACGGTGAGGAGTACTCTGTACCCATGGCTATCACGGAGGGTTGCTTGGTGGCCAGCACCAACAGGGGTTGCAAAGCCATCTATGACTCTGGAGGTGCAACCAGTGTGGTGTTAAAGGATGGGATGACTAGAGCTCCAGTGGTGAGATTCTCCACCGCCAAAAGAGCCGCCCAGTTGAAGCTTTTCTTGGAGGAGCCTTTAAGTTTCGAGACCATTGCCGCCGCATTCAATAAATCCAGTCGTTTCGCTCGCCTCCAAACCATCAAATGCGCTATTGCCGGCAAGAATCTGTACATGAGATTCACTTGCAGCACTGGCGATGCCATGGGGATGAACATGGTATCCAAGGGCGTCCAGAACGTATTGGACTTCCTCCAGACCACCGATTTCCCCGACATGGACATCATCGGCATCTCTGGCAACTTCTGCTCCGACAAGAAACCTGCGGCTGTTAATTGGATTGAAGGCCGCGGTAAGTCAGTGGTCTGCGAGGCCATAATAAAGGAAGATGTAGTTAACAAAGTACTAAAAACTGATGTTGCCTCCTTAGTAGAGCTCAACATGCTCAAGAATCTCACTGGATCCGCCATGGCTGGAGCTCTCGGGGGATTCAACGTCCACGCCGCCAACATTGTGTCTGCCGTCTACATCGCCACAGGACAAGACCCAGCACAAAACATTGAAAGCTCCCACTGTATAACCATGATGGAGGCGGTTAATGAAGGGAAAGATCTTCACATCTCAGTCACCATGCCGTCCATTGAGGTAGGCACTGTGGGGGGTGGAACTCAGCTTGCTTCCCAGGCCGCATGCTTGAATCTACTAGGAGTCAAGGGTGCTAGCAAGGAAGTGCCGGGAGCCAACTCTAGAAAGTTGGCCACCGTGGTTGCCGGAGCAGTATTAGCTGGGGAGCTTTCTTTGATGTCTGCAATAGCTGCAGGACAGCTTGTTAAGAGTCACATGAAGTACAATAGGTCATCCTCTAACAAACCATAGAAATAATTATGAATGATCCATGTATACAAATTCTTCCTTTTTTTCTTTTATAATCAATTCAAATTCTTTGGTAATTAATTTAATTCGTAAGTTTTAGCTATACATAAATGTTTCTGTGCAATCACTGAAAGTCAATTCATCATTAATCAAAGAGATGAGAAACTGGAATTCATTGTGAATGAAATAGAGATTCATTCGTGCTTTTATTACTATGATACAATTGAACAAAACAGAGGGAAATTAAAATTCCAGACATATATGACACCTAGCTTAGCTTATTACAACACCAACAATATAATAACCGTACCCCTCCTTACTAACAAAGAATGAGCTTCCTTCAAGGTAGAGCTGTCCAAACGGGCTAAAAACCGATCCATATGGGCTGGACCGTCACAACTTAGTTGGAATACGACCTCAGGTTAAGTACAAAACTACAAATGACACAATTAATTAAGTGAATTCACAATTGTTGCAATCTTTCATACTTGATAATTGATACTTCCATAATTCCACTCATTCCGTCATTCTATTCCAAATTTCAAACAATCCAAAATTCCAAGTCCAATGTCTAATACTCCAATATAAAATTCAATGTTTCCAATCAACTAAACAAAAAAAAAACTCAAGCGTAACAAAAAATGGCATACAAAATATCAAAATCATTCACAATCTATAAACACTATCAATCCATAAAATGATCAAAATCATTCCTCATTCTCGTTCATCATTCATTTGTAACATGTATAAAAAAAATAGTAAAACAATATATCAAAATATAAATCTTAAAAAATCAAATTTAATGTTATAAATTATCTAAGTAGCTTTGGTTCCTTTGAAACTTGAAAGTACAATAATCAATCAGTTAATCAAGCATCATCAACGATGCGTTGTTATCAATCGTGTCATCATTTTCAATATCTTGATCATCTACTAACAATTTATATATAAAAAAAATCATTCGAAGTTTTTAAATAATAAGGTAATAACATTATTAGCTAATACATAAGAAATAAATATTATATTAATAGCTTCATATGTAAATGCCTGCAACCAATAATTGCGAGTACCAATATATCACAATTATATAAATACTCAATATATCACAATTATATAAGCTTGGTTTAAGGTTGAGCTATCAAAATGGGCCAGCTACCGGCCTATAACGATTGGCCCGTCAAAAGTTGGAATATGACCTCAGGAAGTACAAAATTACAAATGACAGAATTAAGTGAATTCACAATTGTTGCAATGTTTCATACTTGATAATTCATACTTCTATAATTTCATTAATTTCGTCATTCTATTCCAAATTTCAAACAATCCCACACTCCAAGTCTAAATGCCTAATACTCCAATACAAAATTCAATGAAGAAGAAGGGGGTATTTATAGTTGAGAAATTTTGTCCCGTTGGAGGGAAAGACAAAAATTTCAAACTGTAATGACCACTGTGTAATAACCGCTAGGTATTGAGCATGTGTGGGTGTTAGTACTTTCTAGCTGTTTGTCTATAAAGTGAGCAGTCATTTGTCTATCTCTATACAAAAGGACATGGAATTTAATGATTGTTGCTTTGGGGTTTGTTCTTAGTTCTCAGATTATCCAAGGTAAAACATCCCACACTCAAGACTTTGGACAGAAATCTCTTAGAGAATGTTCCTGGCTTGTCCAGACAAGTCGTGTAACAACAACTCGTGTCTTTGTTTGCTCAAACATGAATGATTCACTTTATTATTTGTCCAATTCGGCCATCATTAACACAAGATATAGTCAGGTACCCTTTCATGATTCGGTCTTTAGCAACCTCTTGGCCTTGTCTCTTCTAGTCTTCGTTCTCCGATCCTTCATTCTTGATGAACCGTAGAAGTGTTGGCGTGAGCAATCTTAGGAAGAAATTATGCTACCAAAATATTTGACTGATTATGTAAATATTATGTTTACTTATTTATAATTGATTATATTATGTAAATATTGTATTTACTTATTTAATTGATTTGCTTAGATTTAGGCCATAGTGTAGGAAGCTATGTACGTGTATATATAGACTGAAATTAGCTAGATTATAAACAGAAGAGTACTTTTTCCTCCATTATCGTTTCTACATGGTTTCAGAGCATTTGTGAATGTAGAAACTGAATTTTGTTTTCTGCAATCATGACTGAAAACATCCCATCCTCTTCTATTTTTCCTCATGAACCTCGAATCATTGTCCAAGACAATACTCCCTTCCCATCCGGAATCATCTTAGATGATACAAATTATCCATTATGGTCTCAACTTATGGAGATGCGTATTGGAGCTCGAAACAAATCTGGGTTTCTTACCGGCACAACTCCAAAGCCAACAGCAGATGACAAGCAATTAGAAACATGGCTTATTGATAACAACCGGGTTAAGAGTTGGCTTATTGACTCTATGAGTCCGCTCTTGATGCAACGATTCATTCGTCTACAAACAGCCAAAGAAATATGGGAAGCAGTTGCAAAGACATTTTATGATGGCTCAGATGAAACACAAATCTTTGAACTGAATCGGAGATCATTTACTACTCATCAAAATGGTAGACCCTTATCTTTATATTATAATGAACTGATAGGCATATTTCAGGAAATTGATGCTCGTGTTCAAACACAAGAAGATGACGCTGATATAATCATTAAGTTGCACAAACATGTGACTAGACTTCGAGTTCATATTTTCTTGGCTGGTCTTGACCCAGAATTTAACCAAGCTCGAAGTGAAATTTTAAGAAAAGACCCACCTCTAGATCTAGAGTCATGCTACGCGTATGTTCGTAAAGATCACAACCAGAGACAAACTATGGAGGAACCTAAAGTTCACTCAGATAGCATGGTTCACTTGACCGCCCGCACACGTCCTGCAAATTCCCATCAAGTTAATGGTAAAAAATCTGGCACTAAAGCAAATAACTATATTTGCACTCATTGTGGTGAGGAGGGACATTCCAAACAACGTTGCTATGAAATTATCGGGTATCCTGAATGGTGGGATTTTACAAAAAAACCTTGGAAGAAAATTGGACAAGCTGCTATTACTACCACAACAGATGAGGGAGTGATTACATCTCCTCCAAATACAGTTGCAGCACATTTTGCCAAGACTGACGATTCAGGTCTGTCTAAAACTTTTCTTACTATGAATAATACATGGATTATTGATACAGGTGCCACTGATCACACGACAAATGACTCTACCCATCTTTCCTCTATTCGTTCTTCAACTCAACCTCACATACTTACCGCAAATGGAGGAGTTGCACTCGTTACAGGTGAAGGACCAGTACATGTGTCAAATTCTATTAATCTTGATACTGTACTTGTAGTCCCTTCTCTTTCTTCCAATCTCTTATCTGTTAGCAAACTTACAAAAGCTTTAAACTGTAATGTAATTTTTGGACCTGACAAATGTATTTTTCGGGATATTGCAACAAAACAGACTCTTGGTTGTGGTATTAGACGTGGAAATTTATACTTTCTTGATTTGAACCTTACAAACAATAAGATGCCTGGTCAAGCAAATACTATCGGAGGGAAGCAAGGAAACGAAGATATGGCATGGCTGTGGCATCGCCGTCTTGGTCACCTTTCATTTAATTATCTTCGCAAATTAAAACCAAGTTTGTTTTTACATAGAAATTCTACATTTAATTGTGACATTTGTGAAATGGCAAAGAGCTATAGAATTTCTTATCAGCCTAGTTATAATAAAAATAATACACCTTTTATGACTATCCACTCGGATGTTTGGGGACCTGCTCAAGTCCCTACTTTATCTAGTGCTCGTTATTTTGTGACTTTTACTGATGAATGTACTCGTATGATATGGATCTCTCTCCTACGAAACAAGGGAGATGTTTGTTCTGTATTTCAGGATCTATATAAAATGGTGGCCTCTCAATATCAATGCCGAATTTAAGTTCTTCAATCTGATAATGGTGGGGAGTACATAAACTCTGACATGAAGATTTTTTTGTCAAGAGAATGGGATTCGACACCAAACTTTATGTACTGGTACGCCACAACAAAACGGCTTGGCAGAACGAAAAAATTGCCAAATACTTGAGGTTGTTCGAGCGTCCTTGTTTGGAATGAAAGTGCCTCGAGAATATTGGGGCGAAGCTGTTCGTTCTGCTGCATATCTTATCAATCGAACTCCATCGCGAGTCATTGATTTCAAAACTCCATACCAAAAACTCCACGAACTTGTTTCAGCACCGGCCGAGCAAAATCTTGAACCCCGTGTGTTTAGTTGCATTGCATATGTACACAAGGTAGCAGGAAAACTAGATCCACGAGCTGTCCGTTGCATATTTGTTGGATATGCAGTCTTTAAAAAAGGGTATAGGTGTTATGACCCTACTGGAAATAAAATGTATGTAACTCGAGATGTTACATTCCATGAAGACCTTCCTTTTTTTGGTGGACATGAGTGCTCTCTTCAGGGGGAGAAAACACTTAATTTAAGTGAAGACAACACTCATGAATTTTTTCATGAACAAGCCGGGATTGATTTGCAACTAGATGAACCAGATGTTGATACATCTCCCGAGATTATTAATGGCACTCTTGAGAACCAAGATTGTACAACTTCCCAGGACACACCAACAACCACAGAAATTCCAAGTGTGTCTCCTCAGGTAACATCTTTACCTTCATCTCCGAATGTGTTTCCTCAGGTAACATCTTTGCATTTATCTCCTATAATACTCGAGTCAACTCCTATCACAAATGAACCGAGATATCCAATTAGGATAAACAGAGGGATTCCGAAAATTCAATATGATCCTGATTTTAAAGCTAAGACGAAATATTCCATCAACAATTATACCTCCTCTCATCGTTTGTCAAAATCGCATGCACTTGTTATAAATCAAATATCCCCTGTTTCTATTCCTAGTAATGTGCAGGAAGCATTACTGGATTCAAAATGGAAGAAAGCTATGAATGATGAAATGGAAGCCTTGTAAACAAATCATACATGGGATCTTGTATCGCTACCCGTGGGGAAGAAAACAGTAGGGTGCAAGTGGATCTTTACAGTCAAACTCAGTCCAAATGGAATCATAGATCGCTACAAGGCAAGGCTTGTTGCTAAAGGGTACACACAGAAGTACGGGATTGATTATGGAGATACTTTTGCTCCTGTAGCAAAAATAAACACCATACGTGTACTTATTTCTATAGCAGCAAATCGGGAGTGGCCGCTAAGACAGTTTGATGTTAAAAATGCATTTCTTAATGGGACGTTGGAAGAAGAAGTATACATGGATCCTCCTCCAGGCATAAATTGTGATGGCAAAGTATGCAAGCTAAGAAGGGCCTTATACGGATTGAAGCAATCCCCTCGAGCATGGTTTGGAAGGCTCTCAACTTTCATGAAGAAGATTGGATACAAACAAAGTGATGCTGATCATACACTCTTCATCAAGCAAGGTTATGAAAAGGTAACTGCTCTTATTGTGTATGTTGACGATATGATTGTTACAGGAAATGATACAATTGAAATGACTGCCCTGCAAGAAAACCTTGCAACTGAGTTTGAACTTAAAGACCTTGGGCACTTGAAATATTTCTTAGGCATTGAAGTTGCAAGATCAAGCTACGGAATCTCTCTTTGCCAGCGTAAGTATGTGTTAGACTTACTAGCAGAAACTGGTATGCTTGATTGTAAACCTGTTGAAACTCCCATCGAAGTGAATCACAAATTAGCCATTCAACAAGATCAAACTCCAACCAATAAGGAGAGGTATCAAAGATTAGTTGGGAGATTAATATACTTATCGCATACACCTCCTGACATTGCATATGCAGTAAGTATTGTTAGTCAATTCATGCATGCACCAAGCGAAGACCACATGGAAGCTGTGTATCGGATCCTACGATACTTAAAATCTTCTCCAGGAAAAGGATTATTTTTTTCAAAAAATGGAGATCTAGAAGTTAAGGGATACACAGATGCAGATTGGGCTGGAAGTCAAACTGATCGAAAATCTACATCGGGATATTTTACATTTGTTGGGAGTAACCTGGTAACATGGCAAAGCAAAAAACAAAAGGCTGTAGCAAGATCAAGTGCAGAGGCAGAGTTTCGCGGAATGGCTCAAGGTATATGTGAGTTGCTATGGATAAAACGTATCCTACACGATCTTGGTATCTGTCCGTCAAAACCAATGACGCTATTATGTGATAACAAAGCAGCCATAGCAATTGCAAATAACCCTGTTCAGCATGACAGAACTAAACATGTGGAAGTTGATCGGCACTTCATCAAAGATCATCTTGACAAAGGTACAATTGCTCTTCCATTTGTCACATCAAAAGATCAACTAGCAGATGTCCTAACAAAGGCTGTATCTGGAGAAGAGTTTCAAAGCTCACTAAACAAGTTGGGAATGATTGACATATATTCACCAACTTGAGGGGGAGTGTTGGCGTGAGCAATCTTAGGAAGAAATTATGCTACCAAAATATTTGACTGATTATGTAAATATTATGTTTACTTATTTATAATTGATTATATTATGTAAATATTGTATTTACTTATTTAATTGATTTGCTTAGATTTAGGCCATAGTGTAGGAAGCTATGTACATGTATATATAGACTGAAATTAGCTAGATTATAAACAGAAGAGTATTTTTTTCCTCCATTATCGTTTCTACAAGAAGAACTATCAACTCGGGTTAAAATGGAGTAATTACGAGATGATGTCAATAAATGCTTCTTGTACTTCTTCTGGTTAACGACTCTAGTAACGATTCGTTCAAGATTGCGACTTGACACAACGAGAACAAAAAAAAAGGGGTCTAAACTCCTAAGTTTGGTATCATCAAAATCTACTTACAAAATGTTCCTAACAGTTCTTTCAAGTCACGAATTGTGCCCAATCTAACTTATGGTATGAAGCCATGATGGATTAAATAAATTCCATGAAGAGCAATGGGGTTTAGGAACTTATTGAATTGCGTAATGGGGACAATGCCATTGGTTGTAAATGGGGTTTTAAAACCAAAAGAGATTCATTAGTAAATATTGAGAGATACAAGGCCCGACTTGTTGCGAGGAATTTACTCAAAGGGAATGAATTGATTACAAGGAACTTTCTCTCATGTATCAAAGAAAGATTCACTTCGAGTCATTTTAACATTGGTTGCACATTTCAATCTTGAGCTACAACAGATGGATTTGAAAATTACTTTTCTTAATGGTGATCTAGAAGACAAAGTTTATATGAAACAACCTGAAGGTTTCTCTTCTAGGAGTGGTGAGAATTTAGTTTGTAAGCTTAAGAAATCCATATACTCATTACCAATATTTCCACACTTCCCCATTTGCACCCCATCCTTCGGATTGTTCTTGGTTATGCTCTAGAGTGCACCGGGATCTCTTTTGTTCAAAACTTTTTGCATTTGCTACACGTGTTTGAAGATTCTTCAAGGTAGCCTTATTGAGTTTCATCATCACTATCATCCACTTTATCTTAAATTCCTTCAAGGTTAGCATAGGGAGTTCGTAAATGGTTCTAATGATCACATGGGGGTTGGGTACCTTGGAAGTATGATAAATCTTGGGTTGGAAGCGGGTAAGAAAATTGAGTTGGGTCTTGTTGGTAGTAAGAAGGGTAGGAGTCATGATATGGATTTTGGAAAGGCTAAAGTGAGTCTCGGTAGGTGAGAATCTTGAAATTTTGCATCACAGTAGTAACTTGGAGGTGGGGCTTGAGTGATATATGGGAAATTGAATGGATCTTCACCATATTCTTGTTGTGGAATGAAGTCTCCATGCCCGCCATGTGTAATTGTCGCATAGTGTTATGAATTATAACATCCCCTTTGAACCATGGTAGAAAAAATTTGGGAAGATCCAAATTCCTTCTATCAAACCAAATCAATGTAGAATTGTAAGCTCATAGTCGTAACACAAGTAAACAAAAAGAAAATAAAAGCTTGATATCCTTAAGGTACACTAGCTCTAATGCTAGAAAGGAAAATAATCTGACAATACCACCAAATAAACCAATCCTCGAGAACGGCACCAATTATTTTTCGCTGTAAAAAATAGTGGTTATGGATTACAGCTCAAGAGTTATTGCTTCACAGGGGATTGACACTATGACACGTACTTGCTTAACTATTAAACTTCTAGGCACTAAAGCCTTGAAGCCACAAGAATCCAAGCACATTCAAGAGCAATTTCGGGAAAATCAATACACTAAAGATACGAGTAATCACAATAAGAATAGATAGGGCTTAAGTTAGGGAATATCATCATCTAGATGCTACACTAGCCTACGAGGTTAGGGAGAAAAAATAACCAAGGGATCAAGAGGAAATGTGCGAAGAAAAGAGATTTCCCTAATTTCGTGATGCATCAACCCTAGACTCAATTAACAAGCTCACAAAGCATTAAGGCCCCCCAAATCTTTCTCCTACTTTCATAGTAAGATAGAAATTGGGTTGTGCAAGGAGCGGTTGAGTTCTTTGCCCAACTTTTGTCACTACATGTGTTATTATTATTATTATTCATGTAACATTATTATAGTCAATGGTTGTATTTATGTTGTTATAGAATAGTGTAGTTAGTTTAGACTTTTACTCAGGGTTAGTTAGAAGTCTGTTTTTTGAGATACTTGTAACTCCTATTCTTTTGTTATTGATTTTACGATTCACATCTCTAATATGGTATCAGTCAGGTGTCGAATCTCTCCCACTACCTCCACCATAAATCTACCCCCTCTTACCATCACCTTTCGGCCGTGTCGTCCAACCCCTCCGAACGTACAGTGTCCGCCGCCGGAACTCCACCTCTGGCTGGTACCAATCCGCTTGTCGGGGCGCATCATTACGTGTCAATGAAGCTCATGTTCAGGAACTTTTTGTTTTGGCGTTCACAGCTGGTTCCTTCTCTCCGAGGCCAAGAATTACTCGGCTACGTCGATAGAAGTTTCCCGTGCCCTCCGGCGACCATCGAAGTGCCGTCCTCCGGTGAGTCCTCCTCGGTTCCGACTACAGTGGTGGTTGTTCCCAATCCAGCATTCAAAGCCTGGGAGAAGCAAGACCAATCGATACTTTCGCTCCTCATATCCGCGATGTCCGATGAGGTTTAACACCTAGCAGTCGGCCGGAATACCTCGGCGGGGGTGTGGATGTCGATAACGCAGGCTCTCGGTTCATCCAGCCAAGCCCGTTGTCTCAATCTCCTAGAGCAGTTTCAAATGCTCTGCCAAGGCAATGCCACCACCGCGGAATACCTAGGTCACGCACAGCTTCTGGTCGATTCCCTTGTTCAAGCCGGCCGGCCACTGTCTCTCATGGAGCAGAACCTGTACCTGTTTCGAGGATTACGGCCGGAACTCAAGGCAATGGCTACCTCGCTCACCGCCTCCGGAAGTCCGGTCTCCCTCACCCATCTTTCTGACTACCTGCAAGCTCACGAGTTCATACTCGTCGATGATTACCCCTCGACAGTTGAACCTGGCGTTCCCCCAACTTCCATGTATGCAGGTCGTGGATCGAACGGCAACAGTGATGGACGGCAGACGCAGAACCAGCATGGTCGCGGTGGCCGCGGAGGACAAGCTCGCGGCGGTCGTGGTGGGAATCCGAGGTGCCAAATATGTCGGTCTCACGGTCACACGGCCGTTTATTGCTTCAAAAGGTACAGCTCACAGCTACCAGCACAAGCCCATGTGGCGGTTTCCGGTGAAGCGCCGGCGTCGTCGACAGCAACGCCGACCGACGGGTGGTATCCGGACACTGGGGCCACGGCACACAGAACTCCGGAGGTGGGTATGATGCAGCAGTCAGACGAGTGTGGCGAACCGATGTGCTTCGGGTTGGCAACGGGACAGGTTTGGCAATCTCGCGAGTCGGTCGTGCATCAATCCCTTCTGTGTCTAAAAATTTACATTTGTCTAATATTCTGCATGTACCGAGTTTGTCTGTCCCACTTTTATCTGTGCACAAATTTACCTCTGAAAACAAAGTTTTCTTTGAATTTCATAATGACTGTTTTTTGTGAAGGACTCTCGGTCGGATTGTACAAACTCTCGGTCTCCCGGTCGCATCTTGCATTTGTTAGTTCTCGTGCCACTCCCACTGTGTGGCACCATCGCCTTGGTCATCCGCACAGACAAGTCCTAAATAAAGTCTTAAAGAACTGCCTGATCGTGTCCAATAAAGCCGAGTCCTTGGAGTCGTGTGCTGTTTGCCATCTTGGAAAATCGTCAAGATTTAAATTAGATAGGGTTCCAAATAAAAAGTGAAAATGTACTAGATTTAGTATTTACTGATATATGGGGTCCATCTCCTATAATATCTACTAATGGTTTTTGTTATTTCGTACTATTTGTAGACGACTTTTCTAGATTTTGTTGGTTTTACCCATTACGGGTAAAATCGGATATTTATAAAGTGTTTGGGTCGTTTCGTGTGTTGGTAAAGCGACAATTTTCGCGCTCTCTCAAATCAATTCAGTCGGATCTAGGGGGTGAATATCGCAAGTTGCACAACACGTTTCAAACACTGGGAATAAATCATCGTCAGTCCTGCGCCTATACACATGAACAAAACGGGCATGTAGAGCGCCGGAATAGACACATTGTCGAAACCGGGCTTGCTCTACTTGCCGAAGGCAAAGTTCCTCAGCATTACTGGGACTACGCCTTTGAAACAGCCACCTGTTTTATCAACTTCCTCCCGTCATCAGCCATACAATTTAATAGTCCCTATACTCGTCTCTTTAAAACGTCACCTCCGTATACTTTCCTTCTTGTCTTCGGGTGCCAGTGTTACCCTTTCTAACGCCCATATAACCGGCATAAGATTGAGTATCGCTCAGCGCACTGTGTCTTCTTAGGTTATCCTACCTCCTTTAGGGGATACAGATGCATTGACTTGGCAAGTGGGAAAACCCATATCTGTCGTCATGTTCGGTTTGACGAAGTTGTTTTTCCCTTTGAGACAGGTCATCTAGTGCTGACGCCAACACCACTGGCTATACTTGGGCCGCTGGGCCCATTATAGCTCAATCAGCACCTGAGCCCAATCCACCAACGACAACACCACCGCTGTGTCATTTAGGGCCTGAGCCCATGCCCCTGGCGAGTGTCCCACCGCAACTGGCCATAACTAACACTGCATCGGCCAGGACCCGGAAGGCCCGAACTCAGCCTCAAACCCAGGACCATGTCCTGCGGCTGCGGCATATGACTAAAGGCTCAAATGAGCCGTTTCAGGCATTGACTATAACTACCGACCCATCCTGCTACTCCCAAGCTGTGGGACACCCTCATTGGCGGGAAGCAATGGATCTAGAGTTCAATGCACTGTTACACAATCACACCTGGCGGTTAGTGGCACCGGAGCCGCGTATGAATATCATTGGGTGTAAGTGGGTTTTTAGGACCAAACG